TTGAACAGTATTGTACTGCAGAAAGTAGAGTGTTGCTACAGAAATGGCAAGAAAAAGACAATTAACAGTGGAAGAGAGACAGACCATCATAACACTTATAAATGTAGGTCTGTCCTACAGAGAACCTGCAAAGAAAGTCAAGGTGTCAGTGAGTCCAGTTTCCTTCATCATCAAAGGCTCCCTGAACCAGAACAGCTACCACAGCATTCTGCAGCACCATGCAGGATCCTCTGGTATGCACCTAGTTGGTCAGGGCTTCATCCTACAGCAGGATAAAGACCCCAAACAGTCCAAGCTGTGGCAGAACCACCTCAGGAACAAAGAACAAGATGGTGAGCTTGGAAACATGGAGGTCCAGCACAGTCTCCAGACTTAAACCCCACCAAGCTGGTTTGAACTGGACAGAAGAGTGAAAGCAAAGCAGCTACAAGGTCCACATTCATGGGAACTTCTGCTACAGATATGGGAGAAGATTTGATTTCTGTTGTAGAAAGAAGCCACAGCTGTGTTCAGCTGTTATCTGACAAAGAAGGCAACTTTGAGTCGGAGTTTAGTCTATAAATTGATTCCACAATTTATTTATTTATTTCACTCTAATTTCTTATGTGTCCTATGCTTTCATTTCAAAATGCAATGAGACATTGCACTCCCTGATAACGACTGTATGTTGACTGTTCTTCCCACTCTACGCAAGGACACCTGGGTTGGCTGGTAGACTGTTTACTTAGCCTGGCAGGGCGAAGGACACTGTCTGAACTATGGACACGCACACACATACACTTACACTGATAAGCACTCACTCATCCCCCCTCCCCTTCCAATGCCTTCAATGCTTGTAGCCTCCTGGGAACACGAGGCGGGTCTGGGCCCGCGCTGGAGAGTCGGCGCAGTGGCAGGATGGCTGCTGTGTTGCCTGGGATTACTCCTCATCCCCTACCCACCCCTGTTGCTGGTCACGTGCTCCATAATGTTGTATTGTGGACATTTATGTGCTTTCTGTGCAGAGGAGTTTTTTTATTGTCTCATGCTGTCCTCCTATAGCCCAGCATGAGTAGAGGTCTCTTTTTTTCCTCTTGTACTTTCCCATTGTAGTGTACATTTCAGTGTTTTTTCTGTAATGCAACTGTTCTCTGACTTGTATCCCCATGTGATGTCTGTGTTGTGTGTGTGTAAGGTCAGGGGGCGGGTTCATTCCACTGCAGGGCAACCTGCCACTGCATGTGGCGAATAAAATTTGAACTTGAACTGAACTTGAACTTGAACTAAACTGCATAATTTTCAATAAAAACTGGAAAAATTGGGGTTTTCTAAAACTCTTGACCGGTAGTGTATAAGGCAGTAAAAGTTTGTACAATTCTAATTAGCTTGAAAATTGATATTTGGTACGATCACCTTTTTTCTTCAACCTCACCTGAACTCTGTTAGGTGAGCTTTCTTTTAATTTCTTTAAGTAGTCTCCAGGAATAGTTTTCTGGGCTTATTGAAGTTCTTCTTTGAATGTTGGCTGCCTTTTGTTCTCTCTGTCAAGACGATCCCACACTGCTTCAGCAATGTTCATCATATTGTGTACCATGCATTATGAAACATTATTCTTTGAACCATAACATACTAAACCCCTCCTAATTCAACAAAGTGAATCGCTTGAGAAATTTCTATGTGTCTTATTACTCTCGCTACCTGGTCATCGTCTTAGCACGATTGAGGTGGCTGAACAAACACTCACTGTTTCTGTGCATGCAGTCTATCTTGTATTGCATCAGTCTGGATGCAGTGAAAAGCTGCTATGATGTAACTGACAGTAATAACTCCAGACTGGTAGAGGAGTGAGTGAAGGAAATGCTAAAAAAGAAAAGAGAAACATGGAGATTGAGGGGTTAGTTAGTTACGGAAAGAAAAAGCAACAGTAAGCAACAAAGTAGAACTAAGAAGAAAAATCAATAAAAAAAACCTGCAGAGAAAATCCCATGAGGATTGACATAGAATCACTTTTCACTCCAGGGTATATTTTTGTAACCCAAAAAGAATAAACAGATTTTCCTGTGCTGTTTACCAGTCCATAAACTTAAACTGATGATGATGTTGGTTATTTACAATGGGTAAAGTAATACTCATGGTGTTTACTCATAGCAGCCCTGTGACACCATAGAGAGCCGTTAGCATATCATCCTGCAAACCTTGAGTGTAGATCTGTAGAAGACTGCATTTGATTCCTCAGGGCTGACAGGGACACCTACGTCACTGCCTTTCTTTTAGAGAAAGGCAGTGACTTTGCTTCCACTGTCAGAGGCCATAAGATGATTTGTAATCTTCGCTGCTGATTCTGTACTGTGATAAGTTCTGAAACCCAACTCAAACCCTTAAAATAAACATTTCCTCTACAGAAGATCACTTAGCTGTTTTACAACTACTCTTTCAAGAACATTTGGGTTAAAAGGAACTTAGATTGGCGAACGTAGATTGGCGTATAATTAGTTCAGACAGCTGGATCAACCTGTTTAATTATTCCCACTAGGGGTGGACGATATAAACGATATACGATAGAAACGATATAAATTTGGACGATAGAGATTTTGACTATATCGCTCTATCACGATAGCGCATGTTGATGATGTCATCAAGCTGCACCTGTTTTGGTCGAAAGCATGATCGCAGCAGCTACAACCATTATCATCTGCAAATTATGCCGACAGTCATAGCAAAGAGATGAAGCACTTTTGAAATATGGGGAAAGCCAAAAACTGCGCTTCCTCCACTTCCGTAACATTGATTCATTAATGTTGAATTCTCTCGCAGCTGCTCTATTCCCATGTTGTTGCAGTATATTAATAACTAACCTCGTATTGTGGATGAATGATTTCAGTTGTTCTCCTGACTGACGTTTGGCCCGTGTACAGCATCCTGCTATGCGATTGCATTTGTCTCTAACCACCAGAATCCCTCACGTTAACTTTTATCGAGTGGGAAAAAAAGTTGGCGTTCATCCTCCAGCTTCACTGTGCTAATGTTATGCTAACATAGCTGTGTCGCTAGCAATCAGGTAGCACAACATTATATACCAGGTAGTCCAACTTCAGTAACCCTGCAAACGTCACTGCTGTTTAGTTTTCTGTCTTCATTTATGTTGGAAGTGACAGCAGAGCTGTACGTTTGAATTAGTTTCAAAAATCTCTCAGAACATGGTATGAAATGTTTAGGTGTAAACTAGCGAGCTAACTTCCTGTTAACTTCTAACTCCGTTAAATTTAACAAATTCTGTTTTCATGGATGTTAAACTTAATTGTTACAACCGATAAAGCAGCAACGCTGATGATTTAATTAAGGATGAAAGAATTTAGACGGTTTTTAACTCTGTGTTTGTTTGACTTTGGGACCTGAAGCGGACGGAGTTTTGGACCCAGATTACTCCGTGAAGCTCCTCACTACGGCAGCCGTAATGCTCTGACAATCCATCAAGCAGTGCAGCTTACCAAAGTTGTACTAAAACATTTTTAACAGATTTCTGCAGCCAAAATCGGTTCGAGGTCAGTAAGCACAACCAGAATTCATACATAAGGCACACTCTCGATTTTTGAGAAAATTAAAGGATTTTAAGTGTGTTATAGTGTGGAAAATACGTTATACAGAAGAAAATGTATAACGTATATATTGCGATATATATCGTTACCGCACGTGCTTCAAATTATACCGCGATTTGGATTTTAGGCCATATCGTCCAGCCCTAATTCCCACCTATGGTGTGGTGCGTAGCTCAGTAGTGACAGTTTGATCATTTTTAAGATTGAAGCATTTATTAATAGTAGGTCTTCTTTGAGCAGTCTTCTGAGACTTCATGTTGATGGGTTTTTTAGGAAGTGATTACTGAAATTAACTATAGAGTCTCTGTAAAGATCAGTAGTACTGGATGCCGCTGTATATAATGATACGTCTGTGAGATGGATGTATAATTTATTTCTCAAATGGTTAAAATTTGTAAAGAAATTCCTGAAATCATTGCTGTTTAAGGTTAAAGGAGTGCCTGGCACAACAGAATTCTTCCTCTTTGTCAGACTGACTCCATCACTGAAAAGAAACCTGCGGCTGTTATTATTTTCTTTAATCAGTGATGAATAGTAAATGTCCTAGCTTTACAATTTACAATAAACTTTTTTCCGGGCTAAATGAAGATCTAAATTAGTGAGATGCCATTTCCTCTCCAGGGTACAGGTTATCTACTTTAAGGTGGACTTTTTAGAGTCATACCAGGAAGTCGAGTGCTTTTGATTTAACACTTTGTTTTTTAATGGAGCCACAGTACCCAAAGCCGTGCCCAGTGAGGATGTTTTGGCACGTGGCACTGAAGAGCATAACAGTGAAGAAATGTTATCCTTAAACTTACAGCACTGTCAGAGAAATATACTGTAATGAACCAGATTCATCTGGATTCATTCATGTGGTTCATTACCAGAAGATTTTCATGGGCACAATCCACATACTCAACACACAAATGCCTTTCCTCACAAATGTGGCAGCATTTAATTTGAAATAAACAGGCTTTGCAACCTTTTGTGCTAAGTAAAGACATGAGGGGTGGCTTAAGACTTGGACGCTATTGTTTGCTTTGACTGCAAACACTGAAAGTGTAAAATACCACTAACCTGTTCTGGGTTAGCAGGTAGTAATATTACTTTAGTCAGAAATACTGGTTGATGTTGAAAAAGGGGGTAAAGCTACATACCTTTGATATTGATATTGCAAAATGAAACCTTTGCTGTCCTCACTGACGTTGAAGTTATTTCAAATCTTCACTCTGGAACTAATCTTTAAAGCTTTTAGTCTACACGTGTGGGCCAAACAATAACATCTCTGTGGCAAGGGAATTTTTGCTTTTAAACATAGTACGATTAATAAAAATCCTGGATTGTATGTTTGTTTATTAGTTAATTATGTTAGGGGGCGGGTTTAAATGAGGTCTTTGTAAAGAGCCAGTGGACTTACTGCTTCATGTCTCTGTCTTTGGTCAGGTGTACCCACACCAACGGAGGAGGTTTTGCGCCATACTCTGAACATGCTGGTCCGTGAGCGGAAGATCTACCCGACACCTGATGGATATTTTATCGTAACTCCTCAAACCTATTTCATTACTCCAAGCCTAATCCGAACTAGCTCCAAGTGGTATCACTTGGAAGAGCGTTCTGCTGACCGACACCAACACCAGAACCAGCAGCAGCAGCATCAGCAGACACAGTGCACCTCCCCTCTCTCTGGCACCATAACCCCTTCCACCTCCGGGGGTGTGCGAGAGCGAACACATCCAAAGTCCAACCAGAATCACAGCGGGGGAGGTGGGGATTCTTTTTACAACAACAGTTATCGTGGAGACGACCCCCCTAGCCACCACACCACCCTGCAGCGGCGATCCCCCAAAGACCACCGGGAGGC